AAATTTGATATTCTTCTTCTTTTACTAATTCAGCCGAAGTTTTTTTCTCAATGATTAGGCCAGACACTTTAAATATTATTTTTTCTACTATCTGACTTTTTATTCCTTCGTTAGGCTCTGTCTTTATACTATAATCAGCCCTTATTCTTTTTATTTTTTCTTTTTCAGCAAAATGAAATAATTTTTCCAAAAAGGCTGAGTATTCATCATTATAATTTTCTTCTTTATCTCTGTTTCTAACTATATTTCTCCGAGTTTTGGGAAAATAATTACCTTTAGTTCTTTTTCTCATCACGCAATCATAATGATTAGGGTTTCATACTCAAGAGGAAATGTTGCTTATGTGAATTTCTAACTCAACAAAATCACCGTATTCATCACTCCTTCAAAATTCCAAAGCAGTAAAATAATGTTTCTCCATAAAACTCCGAATAGTTTCCGGATTAATTTCTGTTTTTTCCACTAAATTTTTTCACCAACATTCGAGACAAAAATCCCCTGGCTTGTCACTAATAATCTCCCGCTGGCAATTTTTACAATTTCATTTCATTAATTCATTAATATTATATACATTTTATATTCTTAATTTTTTTCAGCCGAGTAAAATACATATTAATAACCATGACAAAACTAATCGACGCCCAAGAATGACTAGACTATAACTATCCAAAATATAGTGAGTGCCGCAACAAAAAGGATCATAATAATCGGGGCAAAAAACGCCATGAGATTAAGAAGTTAAATTGTAATAGTTACAACATTTTTTATAGTTATTATAGTGATAATAAATTAATGGGATTGCTGGACTTGTCCGGTTTTACTAACCTCGAAGAATTAAATTGTTCGAATAATCACCTCGCAAGTTTAAATTTAACTGATTGTGTGCAATTAAAAACGATTAAGGCTGAAGAAAATAACCTTGTTGGGTTAGATTTAAGCCGAAATGTTAATTTAAAAGAATTAGATTGCAAAAATAATCGACTAACCAGTTTGGATTTGCGGGTAAATACTAAATTAACCAGTCTTAACTGTTGTCATAATCAACTCACTTGCCTTAATTTCCAAAATAATCTGCAACTAGAAAAAATTAATATTAGTTATAACCAAATTAGGGCTAATCTAGATATTTTTTCCCATCTGAAAAAATTAATAAATTTGACCTTAGATAAAAGTTATAGAGAAAGTGCA